CGAGACCCAGAGTCTCCAGCTTGCCCCAAAGCTGGTTCAGACGGACGGCAAAAAAACATGCCATCAGACGGCCAAACACTTTGCAGCCAAGTTAGTTGCGCGAAAAAGGGAGGCAGCGAATCGTGTCCCCAAGCTAGGAGAAACAGCAGCAGTACTGTAGGGATTCAGGGAGGGGTTATGAATTTTGTCGGCAAACGTACATAAGGGGTGGGGGTACCACGCTAGTCGTGGTGGCATTGTGGGGCACAAGGGCAGGAGACATACCAAGCGGGCTCGGTGAAGCATGAAAGGAATAGCACCAGGAAAAACTTCTTGGCCACTCCTAAAGGGCAAAAGGAGGGCAGAGCGAACCAGCACACCATTTTACCAGAGGGTGGTCTCAACCCCCCGCCCCGAAAGATAGTCACGCGACGAGACCCCCACTCCCCTCCCCCCGCCCCCAATCTAAAACAGATATGCACGCAACTAAGGTATACAGGCGAGGTACGGTGAGACGAACCTGGAGAACCAGGAATGAAAAAAATAATAATAATAACAAAAAAAAAAGGAAAAATAAATAAAAGAAAATAATACCGAGAACCAACAATGAAGAAAAAACATGAGACCAAGAAACGGACAAACCTTGCACTTCTCGCAGCCGACGCAGTCCATGATGCGTGAGATGTTGTGGAACTTGTGCATGAACTCTTGTTTGAGGGCCATAGAGCCGTCCTCCTGGTATATAGTATACCAACATGAATCCGCACCGCAGGCCACGACGTGAACGGAAAGCAGTAGTAATAAGGAAAACACAAGGCGTCAGTGGAGGAAAAAGCGAAAGTAGTTGGGGAGAGAGAAAGCACAGGAAAAAGGACAGACAGAGAGGTGTGTTGGATGCCTGTTCATTTGTCCGGTGCCCACCTTTTCGTGCTATCTTTCTCTAGGGGGAGGAGGAGGAGGAGGAGGAGGAGGAGGAGGAGGAGGATATAGGCTGCTCGTCGCAAACGGTTGTTTTATAGGGCACACACATAACGCCACCATCTACCAGCCCTTTAAACTGCGAAAAGCGAGCAGTGTCTGACACAACAACCACAACGACAACAACGACAACAACAACGACAACAACAACAACAACAACAATGACTACAACACCAACACCAACACCACCACCACCAACAACAACAACAGCATCAGCATCAGCAAATTTCACCCACGTGGCCAGCCTCGAATACCACGTCTCCGCTCACGTCGCCGAACAGCCCCTTCTCGTCGAAGCCCTTGAGGCACATCGGAACCGAGTCGTCGCGCCGCATGTCGTTGTCCACGCTAACCATGCCAGCCTCCTTCTCCTGCTCGGCGCTCACCTGACACGACAACAACAGCACGGACAGACACCACACACACACGCGGCAAACAATTTTACGAGGAAGGCGCACAGCCAGCCGGTCAGGGAATCAGAGCTTGAGATAAGGTAGCTCGCCTTCCGAGACGACGCGAGAAGAGTCCCGTCGACATCGAAGAAGGCGGGAACGCAGGACAGAAAACACACACACACGCACACACACACACCGCGTTGAGACTGACGTACTTTCATTGGTCAGTCGGTTCACGCGGTCGATGCTATTACAAAAAGACACACACACACACACACACACAAAAAAAAAAAACACCGGAGAGAAACGCGCAGCATTTCCCCCCGCTTTCGACCTTAATCCGCTTGCAGCAACAACAACCAAAAAGTGGGTCGACCATAATATTCGATTTCGAAGTTGACTGTTTCTCGTTCGCATCATGATCGAAACGGAGTGCACAATATGGCGACCCGCCGGCCGGCTGATGGGGTGTCGGATCAGCAAAAAACACACAGGAGAGTGCTGGCATACGTACGAAACAGTGCTCGAGCAAGAAACGAAGAAGATACGCATACCGTAGGTTGCATGACCTAAGAAATCACACCCCTGGACCGATTTTCGAAGCTCGATATCTCCACAGGAAAAACAGTGACGGTGCCGAAAATGGCGGCGTCGAAGCCGTCTGGTCGGGAGATTTCCGAAAACGTACACTTCATTTTCGGCATCCTGTTCGTCGTGGAGTAATCGAGCTTTGAAAATCGCTCCAGGGGGTGTGGTATATTACGTATGCAACCTACGGTAGTCTTCTGGAGCAGCACACAGAGGGCGTCGACTCACCAGCTCGTTGATTAGCTGACGGGTCATCTTGTCATCCTCGTCGTTTCCGGTGTCGTACTCGTACGCCTGGAAACGAAACAAACAAGAAAAGAGTGGACACACACAGAAAGACGCCGCCACGTGCAGAAACACGGAGCAACCAAGCGGGAGAGAGAGTGAGAGAGGGGGAGAGAGGGGGAGAGGGGGAGGGAGAGAGAGAGAATGGACGAGTTCAGGCATGGTTTCCCTAGCACCCGACAAGAGAGAGAGAGACAGCGGTGGTCCCACAGCTGGACTTGCCGACTTACGACCACGGCACCCTCCCAACACGCAGAACATGCAACGCGATACACGCCACACCAGCAGACTCGCAAAGTCACCGCGGGCATCATCGGGTAAAAGAAGAAAAGCGGCAGCAACAGCAGCAGTAGCAGAAGCAGCAGCAGCAACAACAACAACATAGAGGAGTAGAAGCGAGGAAACGCGGAACACGAACACGCATACGGCCATCACACACGTAAGGCACGCGGGTCTCGTTACGGTTCTGTCCGCCGTACCATGAGGAACGGTCGCGCCTTTCCAATCGCCCTGAGCACGAACACGTAGGTGAAGTACATGTTGGTCAGCCGGTCAGGGTGCATCCCCACGGCGTTCACGAACATCTTCGTGTTGGGTCCCCATGTGCCGTCTGAAATGGTACACACATGGCAGAGGGGGGGGGGGGAGGCAGGGTATGCATACAAAGGGGGAAACAAAAATTCTTGTAGGTAATATACGAAGACATCGGTGTTTTGTGAGAGAGCCCTAATGCACGCCAGAGCAGCTACAAAGAAACTATTAATAGCGCTGTTGTTTTTGGTGTTGGTGTTGGTGTTGGTGTTGGTAGTTGTCATGGCTGGCTTAGCGTCGAAGTGGGATCATCAACACACCAACACTACTGTGGCGATATGCAATGCATATGTGGGGTAGTCCGTCCTGAGCATGGCAGCTGTTTCTCGGGAGAACAACGAATGCTGTGGTTAACTGTTTTTCAAGCGTTGCCGGTTTGAAGTCTTCGGACTAACCCTGCACACTCCCGAGCCAAAAAAAAATACCTACGGCCTTTGGCAAGCTTATCGCCAGATGGTGCTACCCCGGATACAGGACAATGTAGCTTCCAACCGAACCTAGAGTTGGCGACTGACAGCTGACGGCCAAGATAGCTCTTACCGTCGAAGCGGTAGTCGTTGGCGATCTGGGTCATGATGGACGAGTGGAGGCCGCTCAGGAGGCGGAAGAGGATGCGCTTCTCCATGCAGGCGTTGTCCTGGTACCCCTTGAGGTTCTC